AGGAATAAGCCCCTCTCGCCAACCAAAACTGTCCCCAGGGTGTGCCTGCAGCTCAGAACCAGAGATCAAAGGGCAGGGAGGCTGTGCGCCTTGTCAGGGACCTCCTCCAAGTGCTGACTACAGGCTCTTCCCTCCGCCTCTCAGAAGTCACCCCCGTGCGCAAAACCCGCACCTCCCTGGAGACCTTCAAAAAGGTGGGCATCCCCATCATGGCGGTACTGCTGAGCCTGGCGATCGTCACCGTCGCGGCTGTCCTCAGTAAGTGGCAGCCCCCACCCTTCCCCTGCCCTCACCTCAGAGCGCTCCCCGCCCTCCACCCTCCCACCCCAGCAGGGTCAAGGGCAGGTGATGCACACAGCTTTGAATCCACCCCTGCTCCCAAGGGAGCCTTCCTCTAAGAGAGCGAAAGAGAGATGAACTCAGCCCCCACCTACCCCAGGTGGCTTCTATCCCAGATGATTTCTTCTGCAGGGAGAGCTCAGTTTGCATCAGTTACAAACCCACGCAGGCAATTCGCAGGTGGCCATGCCCCCCTGCCTCCTCCTCCCCAAGCCTGCAGATGAGAGCTGAGTGCATCTGGGCAGTGCTGCTGGCTGGAGGAGCCAGGAGCATGTCTCTGTGTGAGGAGAGGATGCACAAAGGGAAGAGGCATCAGAAAAGACAGGGCCTATCCCCTCCCTTAGCTCTGTCTTCACCACTGCCAATGCCTGAGACCCAGTGTGACCCTGGGCAGGCTGCTCTGGGACAAAGGAGAGTGACATGAGGGAACCTCCATCCTCACAGTCCCTCCCTTTCGGCTGCCACACCCTGTGACTGAAACCTCACCTTCACCTCCCCCAGTCACAGAAGGCTACTGACCACAGCTTTCACCCAGGGAGTAGGGCCGAGGAGACCAGACTAGGAATCAGGACCCCTGGGACAGGGATCCTGGCACTGCCCTCCTGCTGCTGTGTGATCTTGAGAAAGGCCTTTGGCCTCTCTTAGCCTCAGTCTCCTCACTGTGAAACATTGCGCCTCCCTCAGGGGGATAGGAGAGGTAATGTGTGTAAAGTACCTGGATAAAAACCAGGTTGTACAAAAGCGTAGGTCATCGCGCAGTGTGTAGGGATGTGACTGAGGACATACAGTTGCTCATCAGGCCAGGATGGCCTTCCAGGGAACCACAGCAGCCTCCTAACTGGAGGACTCCTGAGATCATCTGATCCAACCCCTCATTCTCCACTTGGGCACTGAGGCAGAGAGAGGCGGTATGGCCGTCGGGGACGGGGCTACAACAGGCCTTTGGTCCCTCAGCTGAGCAGATCCATTTCCACTTCATGGCAGTGGAAATGTAGATCCACAACACAAATGCCACCCAGATCCCTGAGGACGCGCTGGGGCGTGAGATGCAGATCATTCCCCTTGAGCTTGGCTGGCCCAAGGCGGTGGTAGGTTTGCAGCACGTCAGCAGATTTGCCATCCTAAGCTTGTTCTGCTCAGACTGCTATTAAGATGAGCTCGCCTTCTCTGAACAGATTCCCTGCCGTAGTGGAGGGAGAAGACAGGGCCAAGTTCAGGGTGAGCCAGGACAGGTACTAGAACCTAATTTAGAGTCGGGCTCTCCTGTCCCAGAAGACCCTGCATAGCTGCCAGCCTAGGGCCCCTGAGTTCTGAAACCAGAGGAAGTAATGTGAACTTCCATCTTGGACTGGGCTCTCTCAACCTTTTGGCTTCTGGGGGCTCAACTGGTGACACACTGTCCTGGCTTCATCCTAGGAGGCTGGAGTCACTCTTCCTCAACCTGGCTCCTGACCATGATCCAAACTCTGAAAGTCCAGGAAATATCCAACCTGCTCCTTCTCCCTTATTTCTCAAACCAGGAGCATCAGGACCAGCAGGTCACAGCTTAAGTTCCTTCAGGGAAGCTGTGGAGAGGCAGCCAAGAGCTTTGGAGCCAGACAGAACCTGATTGAAATCCTAGCTCTACCACACGAGTGCTAAGTGGCCTTGGGAAATAAACCCTAACTCTCTCAATCTCAGTTTCCTTTCTTGCAACGCAAGTTAATGATGGCGCCTGCCTCCTAAAACTGTTGTCAGGATTCCGCGTGGCAACGCAGGGGAAGGTCTGGGAGTGACAGGCAGGGCCATCATCAGACTTGCTACCACCACTTCTCAGGGCAGCCCGCACCGACACTGCCTGCAGACGGGAGCTTCGGGCCAGAGGAGAGTTCAGCTAAGCAGGAGGAGCTAGGAGAGTTTGGAAAAGTGTTGAAAGATCTGTTCCCTGAAGACTTAACACCAGATTCATTTCTGTCATCCAAGATAACAAACGAGCAGCAGAATCTGAAAGCAGCAGGCAAGAGATAAAACGAAACACCACCAACCCCGTGATGGGTTTTTCAACCCCAGATAAAAACACCTAATTCTATGCAACCAGACCAGAGCAAACATAAAATCTGATTAAATTTAAAATTTAAAAAAAAACCACCTAATTGTGAAATTGCACTTGATAGCTACGAGACACTTTCAGAACCGCCAGCTCACCTAATGTTCTCAACCAAACTGTGAGGCCCAGAAAGGGGAAGTGACTGGTCTAAAGTCACACAGCAGGTGCTCAGGTCTTCAGACTCCAGGCCCAGCACTGTCCCCTCTTCCCAGAGGCACAGTGCCAGCACCTGGGGTTAAGAGGCCAGTAGGGGCTGTTTCTAAATTGCTCCCCACGCGTTAGCTTGATTGACTTCTCAGCCATCTTTAGATGTGAGACAGATGTTATTGTCTCCATTTTACAGATGAGGAGAATGAGGCTTAGGATCAACTGCTGCTAAGCGGCAGAACTGGGTCTGGAACCCACATCTACCTGTCTCCAAGCCCAGCATATTTTCAGGGAAACACAGCCTCCCCAGCCCCTAGGCTGTCTGTTTGACCATCAGTCCTCTCTGGCCCTCCCTGCCCTTGCCTTCCAGTCAAAGTGGTTCTGGACAAATACTACTTCCTCTGCGGGCAGCCCCTCCACTTCATCCCGAGGCCACAGGTGTGTGACGGCCAGCAGGACTGTGCCTCAGGGGAAGACGAGCAGCACTGTGTCAACAGCTTCCCCGATGGGCCTCCAGTGGCAGGTGAGCTCAGGGGCTGTGGGGCCAGGGGGGTGGGCAGAGCAGGAAGTCGGCTCAGTTCCCCCTTGGACCACTGCATAGCATCTGCCACCTGACCAGTCAGTTTCCCTCCCTGTTAGAGGGTTCCTAAAAACCGGACCACGTCTCATCTACCAGATCCCCAATACTTGACGTGCAGCAAACACTCAGTAAATTTTGATGAACTGATGTGGGCCAGAGGGGACAGGAAACTGTACCCAAGCCTGCCGCATTCCTGCTGCACCTGGGCAAAACTAGGCAGAGGGCTGAATCGGATGACCTTGGGGAGTTCGCTCCTTTCTGTGAGATCTATTATTTCCAGGGCACTAGAAAGAGACAGTAAGGCCACTAACCAGCTATTGATCCTTCTATTCATTAGATAAGTGTTTATTGCTACATGTCATCAAACAAGACTGAGCCAGGTTCTTCAAAGGGTATTGAGATGTTTTGAACATAAAAACCCATGTTCTTTCTTGGACTGGGTTAGCCCGGCTTGATCTACCTAGTACTTGCGTTCTGAAGAGAAAAGACAGCCCAGGACACAGATGATGGGGGCTTTTGTGACGCAAGTGACTTTCTGTGTATTCTTTTTTTTTTATTGAAGTACAGTTGATTTACAATGTTGTGTTAGTTTCAGTTGTACAGCAAAGTAATTCAGATATATATAGAGAGATATATATCTACATATATATTCTTTTTCAGATTCTTTTCCATTATTGGTTATTGCAAGATATTAAATACAGTTGCCTGTGCTATACAGTACATTCTTGTTTATCTATATTATATACAGTAGTGTGTATGTTAATCTCAAACTCCTAATTTATCTCTCCCCTTTACCTTCCCCTTTGGTAACCATAGTTTGTTTTCTATGTCTGTGAGTCTACTTCTGGTTTGTAAATAAGTGCAAGCAAAAGGGGGAAATATTTATAATTGTGCCAGGGCAAAGGTCAAAATGGAGATTGTCCCCAGGAAACCTGGTCACCCTAGCTACTGTCAAAAAAAGGCTCACTCAGGCAAAGCCAAATGGAGGAAATTCCTCTGAGGTTGAAAGGGCTGGGGTTCTGCGATGCTCCCCAGTTCTGGATTGGGGGAGCTTGAGCTGGTCACATGATGAATTCTGAGGGGCATGGGCCAGACAGGCCCCTGCCCTGAGCTGACCCGGGTTCCTCCCCTCCCAGTCCGCCTCTCCAGGGACCGATCCACCCTGCAGGTGCTGGACCCGGCCACAAAGAACTGGGCCTCCGCCTGTTTCGACAACTTCACAGAAGCTCTGGCCAAGACAGCCTGTGGGCAGATGGGCTATGACAGGTATCCAGCCCAAGGCTCCAGAGGCTGTCATCTCATGTCACGACCTCTCTGCCTCTCTTTCTTCCTTCCTCTGTCCCCTGTTTCCTTCTTTCCTTCCTCCTTCCTCCCTCTTTCCTAGAAATACAGATATTGGAGTTAGACAGAACAGCTTTTGAAGCACTTTCCCTTAGAAGTGGCATGAAGTTACATCCGCTAAGCCTCAGTTTGTTCAAGAGTTAATTGCAGGGAGCAATGCCAACCTCACGGGTGGGTTATGAGGGGCCAGAGAGAGAATGTATGCCCCTCCCCCATCCCCATCCCCCACCCTCCACAGTTCTAGCTCCTTTGCAACCCTTTCCTTTCTTTGACTTCTCAGTCCTCACTCCTTCTTGGCTTTGCAAAGTGTCCCTGCCCCAGAATACAAAAGTCTTGTTTACTTATTCCAAGTCCCATCAGTTAAAATTCAGTTTAAATGAATCTGATTTTATTGGGGCTTCACCAGCAATCCCAGCTCTCTCAGCAAATTTCAAAAGCAGCTCCAAATCTTCTGTGGATGAAAAGCACATAATGATAATGATAAGAAGGGTAATTAGCATTATGTACTTATATTCATTTGATCTTGGCAAAAACCAGAAAGGTAGTTATTATTCTATCTATTTTAGAAATAGGTTCAGAGAAGGTAAGTAGCTTGCTTGGGTAGCAGCTGTGGGGGAGAGGGCTAGAATTTGTGCCCAAGACTCCTTAATTCATGGACAGCAGGAGTTCTAGAAGGTCTCTGTTTCTAGGTTGGATAATTCTCTCTTCTCTGGAGTTTTCATCTATAAAGGGACGGGAGGGGAGACAGCTGATCACTCAGAGCCTAACTGGAGAGGAGAGAAAAGGACCCACATATTCAGTTGCAGGTCCCAAACTTCAGGATTCTGAAAAACTGGACCAAGAGACTAGGCAGAAATGATAAATACTAGGCAGACATCATCCCTTCATCAATCACAGAACCCTTTCCCATCAATGCCTAAAGCAGCCTCAAGGTCCTTTCTCAGTACATGCTCCAGGCAGCCACTGCTGATGCATCAGACCTGCTTGCCCTTCTGCTCTCTGGTTTTCAGGCTTCCGCTGCTCTCTACCCTCCATGGGGTGCAACTCCCAGGCCCCTCTGGAGAGGACACCCTGCAACCTTCCTTTACCAGGAGAGCTGGGAAGGCACGCCCTGCCCCTACTGTTCTCTCCGCCCCCAGCATCCACCCAGCCCAGCCTCCCCCATGCAGCCAGCCCCTCCTCCCTACTGCAGCCTAGCCAACTGCAGCGTCAGCTGTCCCCAGCCTAGCTGGCTGCAACTTGATTATGAAACCAGGGTGCCTCCAGGGGCTCTTAAGGTAAAAGGCTCCCGGAATGCCTGCCTTTCTGGAGCTCTTTAAGCCACCTGGCTCCTGAGCTCTACAAGATCAAAGCTGGACAGAATTATTCATCAGAAGGTAACTGGTGAACAGAGGTTAACTCTCCTGGGAATGTCCATCTCCAAATCATGAGTCCCAGGCGCTCAGATTTCCCTGGATGGGAGGACCTTCTTGTCCCAGAACTACAAAACGCTATGTGGTTCAAGGTAGGAGGGACTCTAGAAATCATCTGGTCCACCCATCATTTTATAGAGAAGAAAACTGAAGCTTAGAGAGACCCAGAGAGGAACTGTTACCTGCCAAGGGTACACATCAAACTAGTGTCAGAGCCCGGACAAGAACCTCAGTCTTGACTCTTAGCACAAAACCCAGCATTGCCAGACTAATCCTCCAGGTGCCGTGCCTGGGTCCTCCAGGTAGTGCCAGATTCCTGGCTAGGAATGTGAGAACGTGCCAATCAACCAGGGCCTCGGGTTGACTCAAGCCCTGCACACAGAGCTTGTACTAACATGACCAGATAGGGAAGGAGGGGAGAGATGGGAAAGAGGCAGATTCAGCATAGAAACAGTCAGGAAGATGGGATTAATCAGGGAAGGCTTCCTGGAGGAGGGAAGACTTAAACCCATTTGAAAGAAGATAAACATGAATTAGCATAGAGAATAAGGGAGAGGGGTCCAAATGAGAGTAATGTATGTCTGGATGCATGTGAATCCTGATCTGGGCCTGTCCTATCTCCAAGGGGGCCATAAATGTATCCCACTACTAAACTCAGACCAGAAGCCTTGTTTGGAGAACCAAATATCCACAACCAATTCCCTCCAAGGTGATGGGGAAGCTAAACTCTTCCCTTTGCCTCCTTGTTCCCCTCTCTGTGAACCAGAAGGAACCTCTGGGACATGTGGGGAATAGGGCCCGAGCTGGGAGTTACTAAAGGGCAGCCCTAACATCTCTCCAGGGCTCTGGGTTCGGGACCAAGAAAGCAAGGCCGTGTCTTTGCTGACGTGGCCTAAAGCTGAGTCCTGGGATGCCAAGGGGAACGTCTCTTATCATCTAGCAAAGCTGCCACCACCCTCACTGACCAAGACCACCCCCACGCCCCTGCCACGCCCCCCCAGCGTTCTCTGCAGCCCCCTCCCTGGAGGCGGGGGCTACTCCCACCACATCTTGGCCTATACTCCTGCCCCAGCTCACTTCTCTCTGTCTCTCAATCTGCCTCCCAGCGTGAGCAGCAAACCCACCTTCAGAGCCGTGGAGATTGGCCCAGACCAAGATCTGGATGTCGTCAAAGTCACAGAGAACCTCCAGGAACTTCAGGTGCGAAACTCAAGTGGGTAAGTGAGAGGACACCTCTGGCCCACAAAGGCTCACACACGTGTGGATGCTGCCATTAGGCCCGCAGCCAGCCCACCCTGAACGGACGCAGCAAGGGGGACTTAAGCCAGGCTACAGGAAGAACTCCTGGCCAGGCAGACTGTCAGCTGCTGAGAGCTAGAGAATCGCATTTCTGAGAGGTTTTCTGTGTTACTTCTTTGTTTTAATACAGGGACACCTGGACAGCGTGTGCTGTCCACACACTGGTGGCCTTTTCATCAGTCAAACAGTAAAACCAAATTTCTTTCCTATTGTTTTATGGTTCCTATTAAGCTCAACAGGCAAGATTCCAAAGGCTACATTGTCCTTCCTGCCACTCACTCAAGCCCGAGTAAGCCCTCCCCACACTCCCAGCTCTCCAGAGGAGGGACTGCATGGCCTTTGTCAACGGCCTGTTCCGGTGCCTGTCACCTGGCATCTAAAGGAAAGCTGTTACCCTGCAGCAGAGTGGCTCAGAGAGGCTGCCGGCCCCTTTGCACTCAGGGATGTCACTGGGGGCTGCTTATTCATCAAAGCACAAATCTTGAAAAGGACAGGAGTAGGGGCAGAATGATCATTTGCCTGGAATTTCATCAAAATCCCACTCCTCTTCCGTTGGGAAAGCCCTCGGTGTTGCAGACACTGCCCCAGCCTCTGCTCTCTTCCATCTCAGGCTGCCGAGAGCTGTAACTCAAGCAGGACCCAGCACAGAGTAGATTCTTATCAGCAAAGGTGTTGAATCCAATTGAAGTGACTTGAACTCAGCTGGGCAGTAGTGCAGTTTCTAGACAGCCCCCACCACCATGCAGGTTCCATATTTCCCGGGTGGTGGAAGGGGACTTGAATCAATGGTGCCAGGAGACCCGAGTCCTTGCCTCCCAGGCAGAGGATAAGCAG